CAAACACTGTTTTAAAACCTCATGGACTAGAGTTTTAAAAGGCCAATGATTTAATTTTTATACTGCATCTCAGTGACTCTTGTTTAGAGGCCTGAGTAAGGCCTCTAACATAGTCCAGGGAAAATCATCCTTTTTTAATTAGCAGTTTGAACATAACTGTAAGATATTCAAGAGCAATCTGGACACAGTCCTGTGCCATGTGCTCTAGGATGACCCTGCTTGAGCAGGGAGGTTGGACCAGATGACCCACTGTGGTCCCTTCCAGCCTGACTGATTCTGGGATTCTGTAACAAGCTTATTGGTTAGGAAGACTAAGATTTCTTCTCACTGATTGTAAGGAGTGAAATGAACTCAGAACTTTGTAGGACTTGTGATAAGTACAATGGGTAAGTACTAAAACTATAGTTTTAAGTGTTTCATGAGAAGGAATAAGTTTTAAAAAGACTAGATTTATACCTATATATATATAAAGTTATAGAAAACTTAAGCTAGGTAGTATTACAGGAATTGGTACAACCAGTATTACTTGCACTAACTAATTTTGTGCAAGTCTTTCTCTGCCATGAGGAGAGAGGAAAGACTCGGTACACAAGTGATACACTTGTAATCTCACTTTGAAACAGTCTTGGTTTTTTAAATAGCTTTTTATGTTATTCCAAAGTAATTCTTGCAGCCATGATTTTAGGAGGATAGTGATGAATTCAAGATCAATAGTCAATCTGTAATTCTTCTTTTCCTCTGTAGATAGTGGAAGTCCAGGAATTAAAGAATATGAAGAGGAAAAATGCTAAGGTAAATACATATATATCACTAGATTGTGTGGCATACAGTAGTGGGCATTGAAATTTCAAGAAGTTGACTGGAAGAAATAAAACAATTGACAAAAAGGTGTACTGTACTACAGAATCAACTGCACAAATAGGGGATAGGGAACCACCAGAGTGTTTTTGGAAAAGATCTGAGTAAATATGGTGGAATGCAAACTCCATACATATACTGCTATTGGGGTAAAAAGAAGGAATGCACATCAGGATGTGTAGGTGTCTATGCATGTGAATTACTCTTTTGGTTTTTTGGAGTTAGGTGGGGTTTTTTTTAATGAGTACTTGTGAGGCCTCTGGAGAGCTAATTAAATATTGAGTGCTAACCTTCAAGAAACACAAATGAATATAAAAATCTAGGAGAGCAGCAGAGATGGTGACCTGTGAGGATAGAATTGGATTTCTTAGTTTAAAGAAGTCTATGGGAACTGCATTCCCTAAATATATGCAGAATTTTTGTTCAGAAGAAGGCAGTTCCCCTGTTCATTCAGAGAGAGTAGTAATTTACTGAAAATGCAGTTGGGGAATGTTGACAGGAGGAGGAACCAGTGTAAGAGCAGAAAAACGTTGCAGTGATTTTATCAGGGAGAGGTGAATGCCCTAGAGCAGAGAGATTTAAGAGAAGCATAGGCACTGTCTGGCTTTCTGCCCAGATTAACGTCTTCTGCAAACTTTTCAAGGACAAAATAGCTTTCAACAAATAAGGTCAACATGAGGCTTATTCTGGGATGTAGCAATTAATATGCTAAAGTCTTGTTGATTTGAGGTGATATGGCAAGCTACTCAGCATGTAAAATAATACACATAGAATTCACAGACACTCACATTTATCCTTACTTTGACTCATATACATTTGTTTAAAATCAGATTTTTAGTTGCTAAATTTAATTTTAGGATCAGTTTTGGGTGTTGCTTTTTATTTTTTAAATTGGATGTTATACTAAAGAAAGCTTAGTTATGGCAATCACACTGAACATAGCTTCATGTTAGTTTTCATTTTTAAAACAAAGACCTACTAGAGTTGGTCATGTTTGTGTTCAAAATGTCACAATCTCCTTTTGTATGCTTGTAAATTGAGTGTTCCTTAGGAAAAATTTTGGATGGAGATAAAAGTTTGACATTTTAAACAGCTTTGAAGTGTTTAAAATACAAATGTAAAATATGGCAGTTTATAAGGTGTGATATCTTGGAACGTTCCACGAGAATCAGAAGCATAAAATCCCAGAGAAATAAAGCCAATCAAATATGAGTTGTTTGCCTTTGAAATTGCAGAAACTGTTTCAGAGACTTTGCTCACTATTTGTTTCAGGCAGTAACAAACATCAAAAAGAAAAGGCAGCGACTGGTGCAACTCAGAGAAGAGCTAATTGGGTATGTTTCTAATGATGCACAATAATAGCCTGAAGAGCTTAAAGAATCTGTATTTTGTAGCTCAAAAGGGAAAGTAACTTTTTTGGGGGTTTTTTCATTTTATTTGCTGTCTTGCTTTCTGTTTTTACAAAAGCTTGTGATAACCTCTCCTTTACATACATCAGTTGCCTAGATAGTCATTCTTGCAAGTTCTCTTACCTAAATAGTTACTAGGATGGTGTTTCACACCATGTGCTCATAAGAAAAATACTAATGTTACAATTTGAATTGCGAAGGTGCTGTATCATAAATTCACAAAAGTAATGCATAGGACATTTCTGGTTTTGAGGTGGGAGATTGTATTTCACCTCCGCAATTTGACAAGCGTTCCTCTCAGTACACGATTTGCTTTCATCTCACGTGGCCATGCAATTCCCCATCTCTAACTTGGCATTAATCTTAAGAGTCATTTAGATAAACAACATACAAATCATGTTATTTGGAAGAACCATTAGGCTTCCCCGAATCCCACTGGTTGCTAGTGACAAGTTTTATACTGAAGCTGTGTATAATGTCACTCCATAAGTTAACTCTGTAGGGAACCAGGGGCTTAGATCGACAAGAACAGTGTAAAAGCCTTTTCTCTATGGCCATGAGAGCTTGTGTAACTTTGCAGTACTATGGACAAATTGTGCTCGAAGAACTAATCCCTCAGTATGGTTTGAACCCCCTCACAGACTGAAAGCTGTCTTCGCATTTTTTGTGCGTTCTGTTGTAATCCTTTGGTCAATTTTAAGAAAGCTTTTTTTCTGTTGAGTGAAAATGGCTGTTGGTGTTCAGTTTTTGGAGTGCTATTGTAATGGATTGAGCCCTCCAGTTTACTTAGGCAGAGGTGTAGGTAGTTTGTGGATCCTGAGTATGCTTCAGCATAAGCACCTGAACACCTCAGCCTGCAGGCAGGCGTGTGCAGAAGGAGAACACCTAAAGAAACTATATTTGGAAAACTTAAATGCTTAAGAGAGAGGAGCTACATTGTCAGACTCAAAAGACAATTTTGAGTCTGACAAAAGAACTGTTCTTTTTGAGAATTAAAAAAGAGTTCTCAAAAAGAGTTTCTCTTTGAGAAAGAGAGGTTTGGGGTTTTTTGGTGGATTTGGACTCATGCTCCTATTTAAGTAATATGCTAGTTGTTCTAATTAAACAGTATGCTATACTAACCTATGTTTTGTGTTTCTGAGCAACCTTTCCTTCAAGTCTTCTTCAGAGGAAATATGTTCATAGTTATTCATGCAATAAACATGCAGATACAAACATCAAAGCCTTGATTCTTTTTCAGAGCTGAACCACAACTGACACAACTACAAAGAGAATATGCTGAGATACAGGAAAGGAAATCTTCCTTGAGGCAAACAATTGAATTACTTACTGATTTAAAGGAGCTACAGCAAGACTGTTTGGATTATAGAGAAGAAAACCCAAAAGCAAAACTGGTAGTAAGTACAAATTTTGCATGTATTTCTGAACAGTTCTGGGTCACAACCCTCCTCCCCATTTTTTCTTTCCTGGACTGCTGGGCACTTGTATTAACGTTTAAGTTATATTAAATAGCAATATTTTGTTAATTGTCTTTGTGGAAGCAACTTGCTGAAGTTACTGCTGTAACTGCACTGTAGTATCTCACTCATTTTGGTCTCATGTTAAAAGCTAAAGTATTTCAAAGAGGATTCTGCTGCTTTGCTCTCTATGTCCAGGAGTTGAAAGGACATAAAAGCCTAACAGTTGTTCTGAGTTGTAACTTTTTTATAGAAATTGAAGAAAGATTAACACAGAGAAACAAGTAATTAATTCCTTTTGTTGTTATTGTTCAAAGAAAGGAAAAGCTCTGGTATTTCCATGTCTGCTCTGTAAGGTATTTAATGCTAAGAACAGTGCTTTTATTACATGGCCAGAGTAACCCCTCTTGTAGCCTTAGAACTCCTTCCTGTTTTACCCAGGACCTGGTGTGGTATTTTCTGTTGACAAAGGTACATGCCTGCCATGTGTAAGGGAAATCCTCGCATTTCATAAGACACTCTTATTAATTTTGGCCATTCTTCACTTTTAAAAATCATGTTGTGCCATTCCAGATAGAGGAAAAATAACTACAGATATGTAAGTGATCTTTCCAAGAGTTAAAAATGTTGCCTTGTAATTTTATTTCCATATCAACAGTATGGAACTTCCAGCCTCCCTGCTCTTCTGATGGAGTCACGGAGAATTCTAGGAGCAGAAAGACACTTTCAGAATATTAATATGAAACTGGAAGAGGCTCTGGCTGTACAAAGAGAGAGGTTATCGAAGAAAGACTAAGTATTTTTTAAGACTTTTTAACATTTGTTAAAAACAATTATTAGAATGGTAGTGTTTAAAGCATGATTAGTCACTGTTGCTCTATTTTGTTTCAATGTTTAAAAGTCAATGACTTGATCGAGATGTATCTTTCTATTGTCAAATAGTCTCAATGTCAGTGAAATGACTGAAATAGCAATCCCACTTAAAGTACTAAAACTTTTCTGTGCTTGTGAACAATGTTGGGGTTTAATCTTGTGCTGTTAAAGTAATGTGATCTTGACAGCAACATACACTTTTAAAGAGAACACAGACTTTGGCTGAACTATTCATAGATATCTTTTTATTAAATTTGTATTTTAAATAAATAATTTCATCCCATTTCTGGAACTAAAGAAGTCTGTTTAACTTGGTTTATCAATAAAACTTGGACATAAAACTAGCAAAATAGAAACTGTACAGCAGAGAGCGTTAAAAGTGCTAAGCTTGGAGCAGCATTCATGATGAGTGTTTCAGTCCAGCACTCTTCAGACTCGGTGTAATCTTCCATGATCTCCTCCTGCCTGTTCAAGATCATCCAGCTAATCTGCTCTTTGTCCTACACCTCTGGAATAGTGCTTTTGAACTACATGGCAGTATCTTTCCAGAGGCACACAGCACCCAGGTGTCATTGCTGGCAGTCTGTGTGCTGGCCAAGCCAGTGGTTAGCTGCCTTCTTTATTGCAAGAGTCTTCTTTCCTTAAAGCTTCCAAAAGAGCTTCATCTGGGATTTCTTCCATGGCATAATTCAGACTATCATTTGCAGCTTCAGCGAGTTCCACATCTTCTGCAGCTTCCAGGAAACAGGCATCGTCGCTTGCATTTTCCCACTCACTGTCTGACAACAAGTCTTGAGACAAGCTGTTTGCCAGAGATCCTGAGCTTTCTGACAAGTCTGATGCATTAAAATGTGGTTTCACCTTTTCTTCTGTGTTCCCCCTTTCATCCATTGGTGTATACTCTTCTTCCTTTGAGAAACAAGAGTACTACTTACTCCATATGAAAATGGTCTTCATACCTTTAACTGCTCTGCAAGTTTGAAACTTGTACTGTCACACATAATGGATACTACAGAAAGCTGGCCAACAAGACAGATTTTCCAGCATGTTAATTTATAACCACGTTAACCTCTGGAAGTCTATTTCAATAGGAGTAGAAATCTGCTGTTTTTCTAGCAACCTACAAGCAGTCTGTTGTATACAGCTTCTTAAAGTAATACAAGGTTAAAACTAATTTTAAGGTCCGTTTAAAGATACTGTCAGGATCTGAAAGTGCACTTAAATTGCACTTTCTATGAAATAGTACTAATAGCTATTGATGCTCTGCTTAAGTAGAGCTTAGTGTGCCATGCTGCAGTATCACCTTTAAAGCTGTCAAGTTAAATATAAAAGTTGCAAAAATGCCGTTGCCTAAGCAGTGAAAAAACTAGTATGTTCAGGCCTTAGAATCTAGGTGCAGTATTAGGTTGGCTTAAATATTCTACCTGTTTAGGGGAAAGGTAACCCTGTTGATACACTAAAATGGAGATAAATGAACTTCAAATATGAGGGTCACTGACCTGCATTTGACTCTGACTGACTCAAGTGTTCCAGGAGCAGCTCCATTTTGGCTTGCCCAGCATGAAATCAAACTCGGGCAGTTTTTCCATTCTACTTAAGCCTGCAGTGTCCCTGTGGCTTATGCACTGGGAACTGCTGTTCAGATCAAAACAGAAGGAAGTCTTTAGTCCCAAGTGAAGTTAGGTGATTCCAGTAACTTAAAAATGAGTATATGGTGCTACCAGAACCTCTTCTGTACCACTGTAACTAATGTGTGGAGCTCAACAGACTGTGTCAGTGGGCATGTTCAGTGATTTCCAGAGACAACATGGCTCACAAGAACCTTAGCATATCGATAGGAAAAAAACATACCTCTTTGAAAAGAGACGGGAGACATATCCCAGGTGGTAATGGAAAACCTAAATCAAATATAAGGCATTAAAATTAACATTCAAAAAAGTATTAAGTATAATTGCTTTGAGATCACAGACTACATACTTTGTGATTTGAAGTTTTGTTCTCTGCAGACAGGATCATGACACTTTTGATACCAGACTTCGTTCTTCAGATCTACCAGAATCCTAAGAATGAAATTATTTAGTTTTTTTCAGTAACAGTAAATAAATGAAATTAATTCATACAGTAGGAAACTCTGACACTAAATGAACAACTGTGGACATTGCTTTCATACTCTGACATACTTATTACATCTTTTGTACAATTTCTGATAAACTTCTAGCTTCATAAGTTAAAAGAAATAAGTTTTTAAGACTAACATCTGGAAGTGAAATTTAGTTAACTTCATTACATTAAGCTTGGAAGACAGTTATTAAAGTAAGGTTAGCATATGGGATTTAACTGTAAGGTAAGATTTTGTTGCTGCTGCTGTTACAGATAATTTCATTATAAAAGTCACATAAAATCACTATTTCCTGTCAACTGATTAGACCACCCAGCTTTTTCAGCTGTGCTTTACAAACACCAAACTTCAAGCAACATGCTTGGGAAACACCATCTAGTGTAGTGGCTGTAGGTTTTTTTGAGCATCCTTGTTCCTCAAAACCCTATTCCTTATGTTTCAGTGACTTAATATGTTATAGAGTTATTTTTAAGTTAAAATATTTCTACTAATGATATACTGGAATTCTAATGTAATCTAAAAAACCTGATTTTCCATCACTTATTTTGCTAAAACTATACAAAGTCCAGCTCCTTTCAGAGTCACTGGCAAAACTCATCTTGACTAAAGCGGCAGCAGGAATTACACTTCTAAAATGGTAATTCTCAATTATTAAAATGACTTTGTCATTTTAATAACATAATAACGTCATTTAAGGTGCACTGTAAATTAATTTAAAAGTGGTCTGCTTTCTTTTTGTGATTTTTCAGCTTCCTAGCTGTAAAGTATAAATGCATAGTACTGCTTAATAGCTTTAACATGCTCTGACTTTTATGCTAGCATCTTTAGGCACATATTTTAAATACCATGAATACCTACTTTGTAGAACTGTTAGAAATACAAGCCCAGTTATCACAAAGTAAACTTGGGGGGGAAAGTTTGGTTTTGTCTGGGTTTTTTGGGTTTGATGGGTTGTTTTTTAATTGAAGCACTGTATCCTCACAGAGGAAGACAACAGAAATTGTAATAGGTGCTAATTCTGTCCATAAGAGATTTTTCAGCATTTTTAGAGAATAACAGTTAAGCAGGAGAATAATAAAAAGCTGTTTAAAACTGAATAAAAAACACACATTATGTTGTTACTTTTGTGAGCTCTTCCAATATTTTCACACCAGCGGTAACCAGAAATATCATATACAAGTATTTCTTTGAGAGAGAAGTAATTCCACTGCCGTATCCCTGAGGGAAAAAAAAATAATTCTTTAAATTATTTAAAACTAGTGATGCAGAACACTCATTTGTGAATAATCAAGTGGTCTCTTTACCTCCTTGTAGCCCATCTTTATTAACCAAAGAATGAACAAAATTATCAATTTCTGGATATGGTGAACCCTGATAGCCTTCCATGGAATCTGTTAAAACAAAGGCCACATATACATACTGTTAGTGGCTTTGCCATGGTAACATGTAATTATCACACATTACACATTATATAGACAGAACATGCACGTGAATCACATTGCACTCTCAGATGTGAAACCAGGGATAAATCCACTGTTACTTTCTTGAGGATCTTTAAACTGCTACTCCCACCCTCAAGAGGAGAAGGTAAATGGCATTCAGGGGCTGCAGAGCATCCTTCAGTACAGATGTACTCTGCCTCCTGCAGAAGGGTAGCTGAAGAAGAGCCCTCCTAGAGGTTATCAGGTGTACAAGTCTCAGTACATCTAATTAAAGAGAACTTTTTTTTCTATACAGGAGATAAGGCGTGAGGTACCTTGGCTGCTTCTGGTTGTTTTACCGTTTAAAAAAGCAGACATTTTTCTCTCCTCCTCTGAAAAGCCAGATGACAGAACTTTTGTGTCATCACTCACTCTGAAGAAAGAAAAGAATACAAAGGAAAATGTGTGATTCTTACAGCATAACACAGTAGCACATAAGTTACCACAGTATGGCATAACATAACATGACAAAGCCCTGGGCCACTGGCTCCAGGGAGCCCAGCTGGAACAAGGGAGTGGCCAGGAGACCTCCAGAGGTCCCTGCCAACCTCAACCAGCCCATGATTCAGTGTGCACCATTCCCTATCCCTGGAGCACTTTCTCTTCTCACTCTGGCAGTTTCCCTGACTGGCACCAAGGGCAGGGGTTCCTCCTCCTCAGCAGCAACATTTGGTTCCTGGTGGAAGTCCCAGGACCCAGCCATTTAACGACTGCTGGTCCACACTCCTACAGCATATAAATATACCCTTTGAAAGGTTTCAATTTTTTTTTGTCTCTCTAAGATGAACTACTTTTTTTTTGCCATGTTGCTAGCTGAAGCCAGATGATCAAAGAAATCTAAATTCAACACAGCAGAACTTCTCAGCCCTATTTATGACAGACTCAGCTGATGCCTATGATCTGAATACACTACATGATTTATGCTATGGGGTTGCTGGCATCAGTTCAGGATAATGAATATTTCAGGATATAAAACCTGAAGTCAGAACAAACCCATGTTTTGAATAAAAATATTATACCATTTTAACCCTCTTTCTGCTGCAGCAATGATTAGGATCTTCTTAGTAAAGTGAATGATATATCAGAAGTTTAGATTAGCTACACAGTGTATGATATATCAGAAGTTTAGATTAGCTACACAGAACTTGGTTATTGTACATACGAGTACCCAACGTAAGGAGGTATTTGTACCAAATGGGGAATCTGGTATGCAAGTAAACACGTACAGGATATTTCTTATCCTACTTTGGAAAATATTCAGACTCTTCATATTTACCTGGCTGGAAATCTGTAATTTTTGTTTTCAGATACAGAATCTGACCAAACTTAATAATGGTTAAGTTTTGGCATTTGGAGAGCGTACAGAGAAATGAGGCACAGCTCAGGAGCTGGTACCACATGTTCTGTGTCCTTCAAACACTTGAAGGTAGGTTCAAAAAAAACCGAACAAAAAAACAAGACTCTCAAGAGTTTTGTTCTCATTTTTTCTTCAAAAACAAGAAATTCTACTAGGAACTCCAAAATTACACTGTAACAATGTTAATGGAATAACTGCTCACTCGAAGTAGCTTTTTGCAACTGCTGCGAGAGAATTATCATTAAAATACTATTTAAAAATATTGTAAATTCCACTGGAATTAAATAATTACCTAATGTTGCAGATTAAAGAGGAAAGAAAATATGCTTCTTCCAAGGAAACATCCTTTTCACAGCTAGGGATAAACTTATTATCCTCTGCTATCTTCAGAATCACATTTTTTCCTGCTTTTGATGATTTATACATCCGGAAGTTTCTGTTCTTTGTATAAACTCCTACAGGAAAACAAATATTTTGTAACATAACAACGCTGGCTAGGATTTAGGGTACTTAGCACTTGTAAATTAAACAATTTTCCTTAGACCCAGCTAAGAGTCTAATGAATGGACAAATACTATTACTGACTTCAGCTCACACCCCATAGCTGAAATGCAACAAAGCAAGATCATAACTCATGTACATTTTTATGTCATAGAAGAATTAAGACAAACACTCAACACCCCTACACAGCATCTTAATGATTCTGACATTATAATTGCTAAAAGTTTCACTTCAATATAAGAAACCCGTGATTTCACATTAATTTTGTGAAATACAACTGAGGACAAAAAGCTGCACATTTATCATCAAATTCTTAGAAGGTGACACAGTCAAAAAATATGGTTTTATTTAATTTCCATGTATGAATATGCTTGAAGGAATTTTGAACAGTATGTGAAAGTAATCCTTCTGAATTAGTAATGGAGAAGCCTACTGTAGGGCCCACTCTGGGATTACATTTCAATAGATCAGACATATTGAGGAGGCCTGCAATGAAAGTGATCCTGAATTCCATGAGAAGAATCTGAAGGAATGGGGGTTCTTAAAAAAAAGACAGTAAAGTCTTGAAGTACATAACACATTGCTGTGCAAAAGCGTGCTGAGCTATTTTCATTTCACTGAGACAAGGCAAAAAGCAGAAAAAGATACAGGAATGAAGAAGGGTGGAACTTTCAAACTTTAGTTTGACTATGGGTGTTGTGCTCCTGGAGATTAGTAACATTTTAATACCTTGAACAGGCTAAGCCCAGCTGGGCCATGAAGTGCCCAACCCAAAATTTCTATTATTCCATCACAAACCTAACAGCTGCCATTCCAAACAGGGGAATGAAGGCTCAATTCATACACATAGAACAATTCATAAGGCCACGCCTGTAAGACTTATTCCATAATTAAGCAGCTTCTAATTCAACTGAAATAACAAAAAAATGCAATATATGCTATTCTCTTTTAATTCAAATGGGAGCACTAAGTATTAGATGAAAAAAAATTATTAGAGTCTTGTGTGGCAAGAATTTCTTCAAATTTCAGAAAAAAATAATTAAATGTAGTAATATAAGAAGTTCCATGGACCAAGAATCTAAGGTTCTTTTAAAGGATATCACTTATGATCACAGTTTCAGCATGTATTGTATTTCATTTAAATTCTGACCATAGGGACAACAGTAAGAACACCACTGTTCTTACTGTCTGTAATAGAAAATTAAGAAACATCTAATTTCTTAACTTTGTTGCATCCCAAAGAAGTTTAAAAGCACTTATATTTACCTAGATCCACAAAAAGTTGCTTGTTGCCTTTTGTATCATTTACTATTAGAAAAGAAAAATCCAGATTTTCTCCCTGGTGTGACATTTCCATATCCTTTGTTTTGTGAGCAATGGCTGGCCAGCCTTTGGAAGCATCTTCGACAGCTGTGAGGTTTGTAAGAGAACCATCTAATCCAACTGCTTCTGCAGAAGACTGGAAAACACGTCCTGCTTCTTCTTCTGGAATCACAGCAGCAGCAGCCTTACTCTCCATTAATCTTATGGCAGGCTGCAAAATGGTTCTCACAAAGTTACCTTAAAAACAAACAAAAAAGGCCAAAAGCAGATAACGTCATTCACGAGTCAAGAAAGAAAGAGTTTCTGTGCAAACATTTTTTAAAATAGCCAAGATGGAAGTGGTAGGAGTTTGGAGTCTTTTTAGCCCTCTTGCATTTTTAAAAAAAACGTTTTGGTCAGCCCACTGTACAAAATGGTTCTGGCCAATAATGAGAAACCAATGCTTAGCAAGAATTTGTATTAAGCTTCTTAAAAAAACCCCCAAAGACACGAACAAGCTCAGATTTAGGATTCTGAAAAGCTTGTGATTGTCCCTCTCTTTCTGCTTTCCCTAATATAATTTCCAGAATGACTGAAAATGTTTAGTTGCAGTTTCATAGTGTGCTCACTGCTCTAAGAGTTTGATCAAAGATACTCAAACAACAAATTATTTTTACAAAAGTATTTTGTAATGACTTTTCAAACTCCCAGTATTGTAATTCAAATCCATTGTACCTCCAGGCTCTGCTAGATGGTAACCAAAGACAAACAAATAAAAACCATGGCCATATTACTTCCAGGAAGAAAGCGGAGAACAGAATAAATACAGATGTGGGAAAAAAACTATGAAGTCAAAGGAATACTGGCAAGGAGAATTCTGCAGTTGTTGGATGAACCTTCAGTGGGGAACATGAAAGAATATGAAATATAAGTCCTCCTATGCTACATATCAACAGAGTGACTCAGCATATCAAGCATCAATATCATCATTATCCTCATAATTCATTACAGGGCTACTGAGGCACACAAATGAGTCACAGTCACAGACAGTGTTTTAACCCTGTGTGTCCAAATACGCACAGAGAAATTCTTAGTTTTATAAAAATAGTTACTTGCATCTTCAGTTCAGGGAGAAAATGGACGTATTTCAGAACTGAAGTTTATTTCAATTATGATAAAAGTTAGAGTACCTGTAGAAGTCCTGGTTGACCACTTCACTTTTTTGTGTCTGTAACTGAGTAACAATCGCTCTGGTGTCAGAATAGCAAGGGTTCTGTTAGTGAAAGATTATTTTGGGACTTATTTCTTTATCATTCACACATGCCTTTGTTTTCTCTCTTCCAATGTCTTCTAACTGGTCAGATGTGGAAAACAAAGCATACATTTCATACTTTTGATCCTTGAATGTATTTTTGGTATGTGGGATCTGTCATCTGAGTTGATCAATGCGAATTCATTGATCGCCACAGCTTTCCTGTGGACATTACATGATCTCTCTCTTACATAAGCTATGAACTCAGCCCTTGTATTTTAATTCTAGCTAGTAACTAATTCCCAATATTATATACTAGAAGTTTTAAATCATATTTAATTTTAAGCCCATGCACTGACATAAAATGCTTATGATACAATATCATCCAAGATGTGATACTTCGTTTTCTAGTTTATCCCACATAAATACCACTAACTCAAGTTAAAGAACGATTTTGTATGAGGCAGACCACCACAGTGCTGAATACAAAAAAAGCCATTACTTGCACATGTTTGAAAAATATATTAATACCTTCAAGTTTAATATTAGACAAAATCTTTCCATCACATCAAAAATATTTTTTTTCATACAGGTTTTGGGAAATTACTCTATGTAGTTATCTGCATTTTTACTTCTTTACTACAGCAGAGTATTTTGCACAAAGTACAAAGCTAATACACCTTAGCACAAGTTTGTTAAGCAGGTTACCAACATGCACTAATGAAAAGTCTCGAGTATAATATTATTGGTAACATGCATGAATTTAACACTGGCATTTACAGTTACAAAAACTTGATTTTTACTGTGACTTCAATATCTTCTTGTAAAGGCAAAGCTGGAATATGAATACGCAAGCTAGAAATGTATTTTTAAATCTGGCAGTTTGTAAACAGGTCAAATTCACGTCACAGTGGAGACACAGAACATTTAAACCGATGGGCCAGAATAAACAATTCAAGCTTCTACTGAAAGAACTGACTAATGTAATTTAGCTATCAAGATCAGAGGCTAAAATTGCTGTCATACCATATTATTTATCATCCATGTATTACTTAGGTGTTTATACTGGCAGAGAAGTTAAAAGGCCATACTTCTGAACTAAAAATTGCAGTGCTCTCATTTAAGTCTTCAGGGTTTGTAACTGCTACCACGGTGTCAAGTAAGAAATAATTGCTCTGTGTCACACTTAGATTTGGCAGCCAATAGTACAGGCAGCATTTGCTTATAACCAAGACAATCTGCTCGGCTTTCCTCGAGCTACTCCTCAAAAGATTTAGAGACACAGATTCCACTACTCCTAAGAATGAGAAATTGGGTTTTTTTAATGTTAAAAAAAGCTGGAAAAAAAAAATCCTCTGTTCTGGTAATACTCTGTCCTCTTTGTGTTAGAGTTATGACCTGAATTTTGGCCTGAAGTGGTGCTTAGGCCATGGACCACATGCTTATACTAAAAATACTTGGGAAAAAAACTTGTATGTAAATGCAGGCTCACAATATCCATCCTGTCCTTACAGTTTGCTCTATTCTTCCAGATGTTCATGCTGACAAGACCTTCCATAAATGATTCCTCAGAGCAACACAAAACGTGTCAACCCGATAACACTTCAATCCAGGAGTACATGTGTTGCCCCCATGAAGTAACTTGACAAATTCAAAAGGGAAAAAAGATTTTCTCTAATGCTGTACTGGGCTAGACAGAAGTCCAGCACTTTGTCATTAATAACAGCATCACTTTGCAGTCATTAAGTACTAAAAGCAAAGAGATCATCTTTCCTGTGCTCTCTACAAGATTCTGCTAGGTCATACAGAGCCTAGTAAGAACCTACTTAAAAATATAGGAGGTATTAAAAAAATAAGAAATACAGTATAAACTTTACTCAAGACTGGAATGAAGGAGAGTGCAGAGCTAGAAAAAGAGGTAAGGGTGAGAAAGAGGACTGGGTATGAAGACAGTCAGACAGATTGTGACAAGTAGACAGCAGAATAAAAGTGGGAAACTGAGTGGGATCAAAATTTTGAACCAAACACCCTGAACTCTTCCTATTCTACTGCCGGGGGAAACCCAGTAACAATGCACATAATTTCTTGTAATCCTACTGCTGTTGTCACAGTTCTTCCTGAACACAAACAGTAGAGCTAAATGTCACAGATCTAAATTTCATCCCTTCTAATAACCCGAGATACTAATCTCTATATAATAGCATTTCTGCTTCTTTTCCCTCATCTTTTTTGTTTATTTGAAAAAAAAAACACAATAAGGAACAAAGGTTACAAAAATGAACACTCAAATATTAAGATATTACAAAACCAAGGTTGCAAGTGCAATGTTAATTAACCCAGAGTTCTGCATTTGTAGGTTGATACAGACTTTAATTCCACCACTGGGCAAGCTGTTTTCCATGAGTTCCTGTTCCACTCAGACAAAATTTAGCTGATATTCTACTGTGCCCTCATTGGTCAAAGTATGTCTATAAGAGTGCTTTACTGCACACCACAGAGAATATAGATACAAGTAAAAGAAATTATGAATTTCAACATTAACTTTTCTTACTGTTCACCACTAGCACTTCAGTGCTTCACAGGCAGTATTTTAAAAGTATATTCAAAATACTTCTGTTAAGTGAGGAGGTATTATTCTACTTACTTTAAAAATGGAGCCAAGACAATCCTGAACTGGCAACTCTTTGTGTTGTGAGTAGCCATACTCCAAGAAATACCAACTTATATCAACAATTAAAATTGCTTTCAGCTTCCTCTTAATCACGCTTATGCACAGATGGCTTGAAATCATCTTTGTCCTGCCTTCCTGACCCTATGCTGAGCACAAATGAACTGTATTTAGAGCAAATAACAGTAGCTTTAATTGTTAAGACTGACATTAACCTGCAAATTAAGCAGTCATAGACTTGCCAGTTTCGTAGAAGTCAGTCTTGTCCATACTTTCATAAATAAAAGATACATGCTAATTATGGGAAAAGGAAGTAGAAGATGAGAAAAAATGAGGCTTGATGAAACTGCTAGTAATTTCTGCTGGGATTACATATTTGTTTCCACATATAATTCCATTAAAATAAATATTCAAATGTGAGATGGCACTGTTGTACGAAGACAAAACCTCATCTTTTATTTCTAGGTGTAAGAGAAAAGAACACACTTACCAACATGAATATTATCCTTAAATACAGTCTTTTGGGGTAGAAAGATTAAGTGCCGACTAAACTTTTCTTCAGTACTGGAATCTAAATTCAAGACATCTTTAGTTGAACAATTTACATCATAAAGTTCTTTTAATTTTTGGCTGACAAGCTGAAATCATAAACATTAATTATGTTATTTTCTCTAGCATTTTTAGTAGTGGTATCTATAAAACCTAACAAAAATGCAGATTCTACATTTTCTCGAGGTTTCTTTTTGGGCTTTTTTTCTCATTTTAAGCATACAATTAAGTTAATTCAACTAACTCATATCAAGTTTTAACCAAATTTGACATAGACCATATTTACTTAAATGTGCAAGTCACTGACTATACTACCACTGATAACCAGAGTAGACTTTCAGTTTTTCAGGTCAAAGTCTGATTTAGTGACTTTATCATCTAGGGTTTTTATCACCACAAAGCAGTTCACACCCACAATGACAATATTTGTAACAGGCACAGAAGTAGGTCACAGAAGTCTCACAAATAAATGTCCAGTTACTAAGAGATTTTATTAGAAGATATTCTTCTAAAAACCTGCTGTATTTTCCAACTCTGTCATATTGAACTTGCAGAGGACTTAATTTTCCAACCAAATTTGCAATGAAGTGAAATACAATTGATAATTAGCAAAGATATTCAAATTTAGGCACCAAATCGATAAGTGCAGTCACATGATATTCTCCACATCATCATTTAACTCAACTATAATGAACTGTTGTCTAAAGAACCTTAAAATCAGGAGAGATTTATTTAAACCTTGATATACAACCATTTGGCAAAGTGAATGAACTTAGGAATATCTGAATGGAACTTTTATTGATGCTACTTTAAAGAACCCCTAAACATTCCTTCAGTTTTACAGCTTTGAAGTGGCATAGGACTTATCAGTAGTAAACCTACAGTGAATACAAACATTCCAACAGCCATCATTCTTTATTTTTTCCTTTCACTTAAAGAAGAGAACCTTTGCTTTAATTAAAACAGTATTTTTACTTAATTAAAAATAACCACTAAGTCTACGATTTTTGTTCAGTTTACTATAGCATAATCAAGATAAAGTGGTAAATCCTTTTATTTCATAATAAATCCACAAGAAATTCATATTAATCTACAACACAACTTTGATCCAGTTTACCTCAATTAGCTTTGCAACCATACTCTTGCCATCTGCATCAGGATTTGCTGGTTTGTAGAACTCCAAATCAAAATAAAGTTTGCAAGCATCTTTTTCAGGAATTACTTCATAGCAATGCATAAGACTTGTTTTGTAACCTTTGCTAAGGAAAAACAAAAATAAATCACAATCTCTCACAATAAACATTATACATGCTTTTCAGTTGCAAACAAGAATCCCACAAGTCCTAAATATTTTTTTTATTTTTCAATCAACCACCCATATTAAAAAATGTAGCAGCCTTATAATGCTTTGAAAAAATTTGTAACTAACATCAGCATCAAATATCAACAAAGATTATTTGTCTGGCCTAGAATTTAATTTTGTAAAATATTCCTCTCCCCATGCCCCCACAAGTCTTACAATGCACACAGAAAGGCTGTTGAGCATTTAAGGAACTATGAAAACTACAGTAAAAAAATGAAGTTATCACACATATGTCTTAAACATGAACAATGAGATTATACAGAGTTTTTCTAACTAAGTTAAAAAATAATCTCATTTTCAATTTGAGAAAAAAAATCAGGCTTCTCATATAAAAATTGACTCAGATTTCTTTTACTTCATAACTAGATGTCTTATTGTAAAACAGCCAAATGGGGAAAAAAGTTCAGTACACGATCAAATTGTCAATACTTGGAACTACATCATTTTTCCCATGGCCAAGACGAAACCTCAGGCAACTCATTACAGGTCTGTCTTAGTCAGAGCAGCAGGCAGCTCCTGGGGATGGCTATCCAGTCACACCTCTTACTAGGTAACAGGATATCCAGTACACTACTATCTTTTAGCGACATACAGTGGCACCTTTTCCCATACTCACGTGTAATAAAACCAAAGCTCTTTATATGTTGTCACAAGGTAAAACCTCTGTCCACTCTGTGTGTTCTTTTCCAAAGCAAATACATGAACATCCTTTTTAAATAAAAACATTGAAGGTTTTTTGGTTTAGTTTTATGCATAGAACCATTTAAAATCTTCCTATTTGACATTAATCAAAGGCTAGTAAAGACTAGAGAACTATAAGCAGATCACTTATCCTTTTTCAAGCTAAGTAGCACCTGGTTTTAATGTAGGATTTCTGATATAAGTTACAAAGGTGAAACTTTGAAGCATTTCTTTGCAGTGCATGAACATAACCTCTGCTTTCTCTGTAAAGTCTTCTTTTTTCTGGTCAGCAGCAAGTGCATCTAACGGGAGGAGGAACAACGTTCTCAAAGGATCGGCCTCATGGGCATGATGGCAGCATATGGCTTGATGGGCAATATTTTTCAGACATTATGTTACTTAAATTAAAAAATAGAAATCTGAGAAGAAAACTCCAAACAAAGTACTGCCAAGCCAGCGAAAGTGCATTTTGGAAAACAGACTGCCAAGATTACTTAAACACCTAAAACAGCATGGAGAAAAACACAGTACTTTCTTTAAAAAGAGCAATCAATTTGAAAAGTATTAAACTGAAAGCAGAGGATACTTTTGCATAATATTTATTTGGTTCAACACTTTTTATCATCTGAACTCGCTACTCTGATGCCACTGGAGAGTTGTATTGTTTTTATTTTGTCTCTGTCTCCTGTTTCTCTCTTTTTCTTCCTTCTCTTTCTTCCTGCTCAGTTCTCACTACCTTCCCTTTCTCCTGCCAACCCTGGCAGCTTGCTTATCTTCAGAGGGAAGAAACCTAGCACTACAATGTTACCAAAAAGCACTTCACTGTTAGATGCTAACATCACATATCAGTGTGATATGTGGATGTTAGAATTAGAGCTAGTTCTTCTTATAGATACCTCCAGTGCAACATGATCTCCTACAAAGACAAAAAACCTAAATTTGCTGTTTCAGGATTGGGAAGAAAAAAAAAGATCTTGCAATCTGATAAAGACTTCACTGTCAACCAAGATTTTAAGTGATGTTCAACCTTGAAAGTACATAAAGAGTAGTTCACCTAACACATAATATACCTCTTTGCAGATTTTTACATAATTAAAAGCTTCAGCCTGTCGAGAAAATATTTTCCAAACAGAAGATGGCTGAAAGGGTTTGGACAGTCTTGGTCTATAAACTGTAGGAAGAGGGTTTCTTTCATAGTAGGATGCTCGTTCTTCCACTTTCTTCAGTCTTTCTTCCCATTTTCTCTTCATTTCTCCTAAAGCAATTACAAATAGTCAAATTACTTTCAATTTCTGTTTGCACGACAATTTTAATTTTAATCATCACTGCTTTTGATTCTTGTTTTGTTGAATGTAATTTATCAATTAACTGGGAGTAGCTGATATTCAAATCAACACCCAACCTTGCTGTGATATTCATTTTAATTAAATCTATCTACACTGTTTTGGAAGTACAAGAGCTTCACATTAATGCTATCAAAAATAAACACAACAGAAAAATCACAATAAGGGAAAGCCTAGGAAGTTTCCTTTCTATCTACAAAATGGTATTACATTCCTCCTCAAAAAGTATACAAACTCTGCCAAATAGCCACACAATATAAGTAATGAGTGAAAAAAATAGTATTATTTCTGCTTTATGGTTGGGGAGACAAATGAGATCATTAATTTGTGTGGGTAGTACAGCACTTGAGTTCCTCAGAAGAATTAAGATTTCAGTGAGTCCAGCTCTGAGCTCTATATCTCAAAGTAAAAGAACTGAAATCTAAAATGAGGGCTCCATTCTCCACTGCTGACCTTTGCTACTGATCAGTGATACGTTCACTTGCTTTAAAATCTCATGTACTTTCTCCCAATCTCAAGACAGCAACCTTATCTCTTTTCAAGAAATAGCACCCTACAGTAACACTTGCTTATCTTGTAACCTTTAAACTCCTAGTTCCATAAAGTAATTCAAATGCTACAGAGTAGTGTAGTAAAGCACAAACACACATATGTACAAATATCTGTAAGTTGAACACTTGCAAATCAGAGAAGAGTATTGCTAAGAAACGGTGAAACAGAGGCAGAGGGGCAAGAAGGAACAAACATGAAGGGGAATCTTTTTGTTTTGCCCAGTATAACCACTTGGTTCTCATAACAGCCTACCAGATGCAATGAAAGATAAAAATGAAACTGACTGTACTCAAAAGTATTCAAACCTTTAACAAGCTGGATCCACAAGGTGAGTTTAAGTATTTAAATATTCTTGTGAGGCCCCAAAGCCCAAATTTTAGATCCTCTGAATTCCCCCTCTAAGTTTTCCACAGCAAAAGTTACTGGACACTTACATTTCTGCCCACTGTACCTCTAAGCCTGCCTGTGTTTTGATAGTTTAGTGCCTATGTCAAGTCTTAATAACAGAACGTTTTTTCTCTAACAGGGGTCAAAAATATTATCTCTATAGACCTTGTCAGTCCTCTGATCTATGCACTTCCTCCACTCCCTTTTTGTGCAATTAGTTTCTTCCTGGGGAATGAAAAGTTAAATTACAGACAGCAATCAGCATTTCTCAGAAGTGCTAGCAAAACCCTCATTTCATTTTCATGTTGTTGGCTCTGGTTGTAAATTAACGGGTGCAGAGGACATTCCCTACATCAGCACTTTCCCACAAGGTGACCATTAAAAAAGGAAAGTGAAAGAGAATTTCTGTAGTTCTCTACTCATTTTGAAGTTCCTAGTTATATTAGGCTATATTTTTTGAGAAACACAGCTGGGAGGATATCAGAACCTGGGAGAAGGTTGATGACCCTTACTTTAAAACTTAAACCTATCACTGTTCTTTGCAGTCCAAACACTCTCAGATTCTCAGCAGTCCAATATGTCATTCTTTTCAAGGTAACTTCAGTTCCTGCATGAACTATAACACAGCACATCCATTTAGAGCATGTACAATTTACAGTTACAGACTAACCTTCTGAATTCACTGGGGAATTCACGCTTCATCTTCCTCTCTTCTGTCCCACCAGAAGTAAGGGGAGTACTTATTTTTATTTTACTTGACAGAAAGAAATTTTGTCCCCAACATGTTTGGACTTCAGTGTTATTGACTGAGCAGGATGGAGAGCCTGGGAAAATGTCTCCTGAGAGATGACTTGAAGAACTTACTATTTCAGTTTCTCTGTTTGATGGAGGACTACTCATCTGGTTACTGCTGAGCACAGTTGACATCCTGTATTTTTATACCAGGTTATAGGGTTGGTTTGAGACTTTTTTTGTTTGGTGGTTGTATTTTTTTTTTTTTACTAAAATGTAGGGACATATATGATGAAATCACACATCTATGTTTGTCTTTCCCCTGTAGCATGAGGGATTTCTGAAATGGTCTTAAAAATGTTTAAAAAAAATGCTCAAAAATCTGTAATGATTATGATAAAACACACAATCCACACCTGCTGAGAACTGAAGCTGAGACATGCAAATCAATTGCTACTCAAAATAACGTAATTACAGTTGTTTCCTGGCCAGTTTGTATCATGCAACATAGCTCTATGGCAGAATTCATGGTCCTTGACACAAATAAATCCGTGAGATTTTCTCCCAGCTACTGATTCCAGCCTTAGAAGAATATAATAAATAATGATGCCTCTATTGTCAAATTTCTTAATGTTAGTGAAAATTAGCTGAGTTATCCTTATGTTGAGCTGACCTGAGGCATACCAACAAACACTACTCATCTTCCCTCAACAACAGCAAGGAGCACCAAATTTTCATCTTGTCCTCCTAAGAGAGGAAGTGGCCTGTACAATCACAGAATCAGAGAATGGGTCAGGTTGGAAGGGACTACAGTGGGTCATCTGGTCCAACCCCTCCACTTAAGCACAGGATTGCATCCAGACGGTTCTTGAATATCTTCAGTGAGGGAGACTCCATAATCTCTCCAGGCAACCTGTTCCTCAAATTAAGATTTGAGGACTTCTGTGCAAAACTCAGTATTTTAGACCAGGTATATAAGACCTCAAAAAGCAGGTTAGTATCTGTTGTGAGAAGCTGGAATATGTAGTTTCCAATGTTATCTTACTCTGATGTCTGCTACGGAAGGTCACTGTACAAATATGAAACTAACTGACCTGAAAGTTGATGGTGAAGCCAAAACCAGCCCTCAGCTTTAGAGAGCTGTTGTGCAAGGCAGATCAGCAGGGCAGGCAGGGACAGTCAGAGTGTCCCTGTCTGTTGGTGTTATAAGCCTGAGGCTCTGACTGTGCATGGTGGGCAATAACCTCACCCAAGGGGCAGGTTCTGCTGCGGTACAGGCCAGCACAGCCGTGGGGATCTCGCACGCCAAGGTCTGGAAGGTGGCCGCTTGTTTGGTAATCGTCCCCACAGATTACTGACTTTACAAACCACCATTCTGTCAGAATCACAGAATACTGTGTTCGAAGAGGCCCCTAAGAATCATCACGTCCAACCCTTAAGCCTGCACAGGACCAGACACAAGAATGACACCACATGCCTGAGAGTATGATCTAAATACTTCTCGAACTTTGTCAGGCTTGGTGCTGTGACCACTTCCCTGGGAAGCCTGTTCCAGTGCCCAACCACTCTCTGGGTGAGAAATCTTTTCCATCTGTTCGGATGAGGCTGAACAGACCAAGTGACCTCAGCGGCTCCTCATATGGCTTCCCCTCAAGGCCATTCACAATCTAAGTTGCCCTCCTTTGGACGCTAACAGCTCAATATCTTTTTTATACTGTGGTGCCCAAAACTGCACACAGTATTCAAGATGAGGCCACACCAGCATGGTGCAAATGTACCAGAATGCTACATTTCTCCCAGCAGGCAGAGGAACTGAAACAACAGGCCAAACCTAACGGGGTTTGGGTTACACCACTCAAACTGAAGAGCAGCGAGTGCAGCAGTTCCCGGCTCGGCGCTCAGACACCGCAGGACGCGGCGGTTCGGCGTCCTCCCGTGTCCCGGAGCGCACCCGTGGGGCCCGGACCGGCGGCCCCTTGGCTCACCCTGGCCTCGCACCGCCTCCCCTCGGCTCCGGGAGCCGCCCCGCACGTCGGGACCGCCTTCCCCGACCCCCCGAGGCCGCTCCCCGCCGGCACCGACTCACCTCCCCCGCCGCTCGCTGCCGCCATTGGGGCGGCCTGCCCGCCCTGCGCGGGGAGGAGCCAGCGCCGCGCCGGGCGGGCCCACGGCCGCGGGGTTCCCTCGGCGCCGAGCCGTGCCCAGCGCAGCCCGGCCGAGCGCAGGAGAAGGCAGGTTGGAGCGCAGCGCCGAGAGCGGGCGGGCGGCAGAGGCGGTGGGTGCTATCGGCGGCAGGGATGCGGGCGCGGCGGTGCTGGGGCCAAACAAAGCGGCGGGGGGTGGGGTAGACCAGGCTGTAGCTCTCCAGCTCCGCGTGGCCGCCCGCATCTCCTCCAGAGGGGGTCGGTTGCGGGGGGCAGGAGGGCAGTCGCGTATCGGCGGGGGCGGGCCTGGCTCAGAGCGCCGCCTCGCCGCTGCCCCGGGGCCCCGCGGGGCTCCCGGCACGGCGGGTCCGGCGGTGCTGCGGGCGGGGGTCCGTCCCGCCCTGCCCGCGGGTGAGGCGGCAGAGCGGCCGCGGTGCTCTCCCGGCACCCGCCGCTTCCCGGGGCAGGGCGCGGGACCTCGGCTGTGAGTTTTCCAGAAGCTTAAGGTAGACAGTTTGCTCCGTTTCAGCCTGCTTTTGTGGAGAAGCTGCCGAAACGAACGAACAAGCAAACAAACAAAAAATGGGAGAAAAGAGAAAGGGAAAAAAAAAAAAAAAAAGCACTTTAATTGTAAGCTGCTCTCTGGTGTCCCCCCCGGTAGACCATTAACTAACCGGAAGCGCAGGGTCAGAATCTGCATCTGGATCTGCCAAAACAAAGCGGGTTAAACCTCGTGTGTACCGGCTGTGCCAGTGCTGGAGGAACTTAGTTTGAGACTCTCACAGACACTGTGACTAACCTTTTCTAATCTAGTCTTTTACCCTTTGACTCATAGTTCTCTCCTTCAGTTATCTGCCTGTCAGATGGTAGGTTGTCGAACTAACACATCATGCCGTTGATGTTAAGGAGCCCGATAAGGCTATTGCTTATTGCATTGGTGATCTGTTTTAATTGGTATTGGTGAATTAATAAGCAAGGGCCCCATCTACACTCGGAATAACTTCAGCTCTTGCTGATTTTGCATCTTAATGCTGACTAACTAGAAGTCTGTTTGCTTTTGGAAGATCAGAGTGCTGGCCCGGTGTCTGGGCTTTCCAACTACCACATCCAGACCAGAAGTAATGGGAAAGGCTGTCACAGAATTGGCGTGCTTCCATCAGTGGTAGCAGTATTTAGTAGGGGGATATTGTCATATGGAAAATATAATTGTATATTTCAAATGTTTTTCAGTTTTTCATATAGTCAGCTTCTATTTTTTCCTTATGTTATTAATCAGATAATTATTGTTTAGCATTGTACATTGTAGAATGGAAACATTTTAATTGCATGTCTGCATGCAAATTATTACAATATGCCATATATATGTTTCTGTACATAAAATATCTTCTTTGAATGCTTGACATTTTCTCTTGCAGTCATGTGAGGTGGAAAACTGCCCTTTTGTAATCTTTAAGGACGTGTTTTACAATACTGATGTCTGTTTTGGACATGTGTTTTAATACTGCTACAATCATTGCTTTGTAGAAGCAGATATATACTCAAGGTGTGTTGTCTTGTCTCTCCTGGTTTGCCATTCAGTTATTTGCTTCCTTCCCTATCTGAGAAGCTTTGGTATTATTTTTATCACTATGTCATTCATTTGTCTTTTTCGTTCTCATTTCAAATAAATATCTTTAAAAAGAAACTTGATGGTTTGTATGGCAGTGGTGATACATGATGATGTGAATTTGTTTTCATTAGGTCCAGGAAGAATAAGTAAATCAAGGTTGGAAGGGAGTAAGAAATTGTTTTATATATAATTTTCCCATCAAAAGAAAAGCATTGTAACAACTGCATTTATAGAAGGAAAAATTTTTTTTCTCTTATTGCTATACAGAGAGACATTGGTCGTTTTTTGTTAGCTTGCGAATCATAGCTTTGGACCTTTTTGAACCACTTTGTTTTTTACTACTTAGTACCTGTAAAGATCATTGCAGCATCATCTTTATATTCATTGTCTCTGTGTCATAGCATTTTTAACAAACTGTATTTTTTTTAGATAAAGTATTGGAAAATAAACTTCCTAAAACCTACAGAATATATTCTGCTGGATTACAAAAATGCTGTTGCTCTTTTCAGCTACTTGTTTTTGCGTTTCCTTACAGTTGAAAGTCCATCTAACATAACAGAAAATAGTAACAAGGAGAAGAATAACATTTTTTCATCAAATTCTTAAAGCACTGTCATGATTCTTACTCCCCTCACCCCTTCCCCCACCCCCTCCATCCCTGGTAGGATGAGATCATCCTCCACAGGGAAATGTGTATTTTGCTTGAGAGAGCACGGCATCACTGCATTACCTAAACCAAGATGAGGCAATTCTTAGTCTGTTAGAATCAGCATCATCCTCCAGAGAGCACTGCTGTTGCCCTGACCAGTGCTTTAGAGCAGAAAACATGCTGCTGGTTAAAACGTGCATTTGAGTGCCTAGCAACAAGAGATACCTCCTTGTGGATGTCTTTTGTTCTTTAAACAAGTGCAGATGACTTGGTGCCTTAAGGTGCTCAGAAATTGATGAATATTAAAGGTGAGTTACAGATTCTGTTCTGAAGATAAAGCATGAGAATTTCAATACCTAACGAGTTCTAACCAGCCTTTCTAGACAATCTCTCTAGCTACTGTAAAGTCTCTTAGACAAGCTGCGATTGTGAAGTAGAATGCAGTGAGCACTAATGCTTCATTAAACAATTGAAACTGTAGGCTGCGAGCTAGGCTTGCAGAGGCTTTAATAAGAAATGCTTTTATGATAAGGTATTACAAAATGTGTTTTACATTTTTCAGAAACAAAGTACTATAGTTTGTTGTAATTGTAGGTTTTGCTAGCTACTTTTTCCAATTTCATTGTTTCTTTGGCATTGGATCAATTACAGCAGCTTTAGTCATAATTTAAGGTCACTTAAATGTTGAAGATCTCTCTTAGTGTTTACAGCATGCTTTATCATTTATGTTGTGGAAGCACTCAGTGCTTGCAGCCAGTTACGTCTCCAGTTTGCTTACTTTAGTCTGCTGCTGTTCACCAGTGTTGTTCTCACCATTACTAAACCAGCTTACTAAAACCAGTCCCTAAAGGGATGTAGCATTTTGGTTGGAGCACACCTGATGTGAACTCAAGACAGCCTAGTGATCCGTTTACCCTACCTAATGATTGCAAGATCTGATCTGTTGGCCAGAGCTCTTAGCTTGCCATATACTTTGGGTTAGTCTTTCTCCAAGTAGCTCTTGGTAGCCCAGGCTGGCTCATATGATGGAGAGGAGCTTGCCACAGCTCATGTAGGCACACGTTTACTAGTTTACACCCTGTGCTTCATGTACTTGCAGATCTTCACAGTATCAAAAAGCTGGGATAAACACCTGGGGTTTTAGCACAAGTTGATTTCTTTGCTGACATGGCTACACTGCGGTCAGGACACCTGCTGGCAAGTTTTGATGATAGAGATGGTACATGATGCTGTGCTTTTTTATATGGTGTAGTTGTTTATTACTGTTGGTAGACAAAGAACGAGTGAGGAAGGAAATAAACCTTTTCCTTGTCTCTCCTATTAATCCCATTCACAGTGAAGGTTTTGGGTTGTGCTTTTGCACATAGTGCTTC